AGCCTGCTCATCTTCTTCTTGTTCGTGCTTCTCAACAAAGCGGTGGTAGTTATTTAGAATATTGCCCGCTTCAGAGCAGTCCCAAACAAAAATGGTCGGCGCCTGCAGCCAATGCTGTAGATCATACAACGAGACGGGGATGTACTGGGTGTAATTCTTATTGAAGACCCAGATCTCTCCGCTCGCGGTTGGTTTGGGTACGCCGTGTCCGTTGTAGTGGAGGAGAACTCGCTCGTCCTTGGCGTTCCTTCGTAAGGACACACAGAACTTTTTGGTCTCCTCAACCGATGGATCCAGATATTGCTTGTACCGTGTCCGGATCGCGAGTGTTTCGTACTGGCTCTGTAGTTGTTTTCCTATGTTTTCCAAAGCCTTTTGGGGTGCTGGATGGTAAGGGTCCGTCCATGCCTCTAACTTGGCCCCGGGGGTCGTTCTGAGTTGATCTGGCGGTTCCACAGAGATGTTTAAACACACAGCAAGCGCAGCTGACACTGTTTTGAGCCGGTCGCGCATGCGCCAGTCCTGGAGTTCATGAGACGAGGCCTTCGGCTTGCCCGTCGACTCGTGGCGCTTGTCGGTCCAGTACATGTACCAGTTCTGTAGGGAAATGTTAGCAAATGCGTCATCTCGCAGCGGAACCCCCGTGGCCCAGTATGCATATGTCCTTCTCGACACAGGTCTCCATAGATTGGTCACTTGCTGATGATAGCCGTCGGTGCGGACATCGGGGTATAGGTGGTTCGAAATCCAAAAAAGAGGCCATGGTCTACGACATGGTGAACCCTGCGTTACCATAGAAACATGACAGCCATGCTTCGTTTGCGCCGCTCGGAACGCGCAAGTCATGATCGCACTTGCTTGCAGGAGCTCTCAGGCTCTGATAAGGATGCAGGGCTGCCCGTCAGAGGCATGTAGAGAGGTTCAAACTTACGTTGGCCAGCTTGTCCATGAACTGCTGCGATTCGTAGAGCTCGTCGAAGCCATGCCTCGCGCCCCATTGGGGTATTTCCTCATCTGACTGATCAGAATCGTTCGGTCGAACGCCAAACTCGCTCCTTGTACGGAGGAGCAGCGGTTTGGGCTGCTGTCGCCTAGGCTGTCCGTTGCTGCCTTGTCCAGGGTTGCGATGGTGCGCGAAGCCTCCAGGCCCCGCATCCTGCTTCTGATTATCTCCGGGTGCACTTGACGGGCGCGCATCGGGCGTCTCGTGACCAGTGTGGGTATTAGATCGCTGATTGAGAGTCAAGGGTGATCTCGGTCGTTGCATCTTGCTCAGCTCCGGGCCGCCCAAATGAGTATGAATGCCGTTCGAACGCGGAGCCCGCGTCGCCATTGTCACATCCGCAGCACTTGTGGATAGGCCGCCGTTGGCTTGGTGGTGATCCGGTGTGGACTGCTGCCGTCGCTGTTGCTGTCGCGGCTGGTTTGAGGTCGAGGATGGCTTCGGGGCGTGCTGATTCGGGGATCCGGCAAGGGCGTTGTTGCCTGTTGCGGCTCCCATGGCGATGCGCGGTGGCTTCTATCTATGGTGTACTGACTGAGCTGAGGTAGCCAGCGCCATTATCGTCCTCCTAAAGAGTGGTTTTGAGCGGATGAGCGAGGGTCTGTCGTGGGGCGAATTCAGACCGGCTGTGACCGAGTGTCGTTGAGCTTCAGGCGGCAGACGCGAATTTGGTCGCAGTTGAGGCGACCAGGTTCACCTGGGCAGGCGCAGCGTGCTAGGCTGCTTCGGTTCAGCTTTCGGCACGGCAGTGCACCTCATTACTACCCCACAGCAATGTTTTGCTCAATATGTGGGATAACCGGATATGCACTGACAGATACTCACGAAGCGTGTGCACAGCGCCATCATGCAAGGATGCCCCATTCCAGTGATAGCAATCTGACCTGTACATTTTCGAGTCATTCGAGACTGCGCAACTACCATGTACCTATTCGACCCGACGTACTGGTCCACTTGAAGCGTGATCTTTGAATACCAAGCATCGTGCTTCTCGATTCGACAGAACCGACGAACACCTTGTTGTAGGAAATGTCATGACCAACGGCCCCTGTGGGATTTGCTGAGTCATCATGAGACAGCAATGCGTGCCTCAAGAACCTAAGGTACCTACCTAGGTAAGGTAGGTAGGTCAGGTAAAAACCTCCCATAGATGGAAGCATATTCGCTGAGCCTCTCTGGATTCAACACCTTACCTGCAGCCGAGTAGATGGTTTATTGAACGACGAACATCGTCCCAAGGTCCCAAGAACAAATAATCTGCCGAGCCTGGTCCACAGACGGGGTTCATATAGATGCCGAATCTGCTTCATCGTACGTCGTCTAACATAGCCGCTAGAAGACTACCAGCGAAAGTATCGAATGAGTGGAACAAGATGGCGTTGGTCACGGCAGATGAGCTGTCTTGTATGGTAAACTACATGCAAACAGGAGAAACGTGTTTCCACGCCCACACCCAAACAGCCCCAGAGCCCAATACCATGAGCAGTGTTGAGAAAGTAAAGGTACAAGGCAGGACAGGCCGTCCTCACGGACGATGAGCGGGCAGAGCGGGCAACGGGCTCCGCTGGCCTGTGTCCGCAGATTGTAACGCTTCCCCATATAAAAAGAAGATGAAACGCACCACCTCGTGGCAGACGGGTTCCAATGCAACTATGTTGCTGGCCTTCGACACGATCGATCAAAATGGTTGGTCACCAAGGTCACATAGCGGTTCTGGTCAATAACGTCGTCTCGTTTCCTCATCTTTCTTTCTCCCTCGCTCAAACCATGTCGGCAGTGGTCAAGCAATTCAAGCCAGCACGCTTTCTTTTTGTCCCGGAGCTTGGGACATGATTCTTTTTTTATCACTGTTTTTCCTTTGGCCTTTGGCCCTCCACCGACGGCGAAGCGGTTTCCCCTCTCCTGTGCCAGTCTCCTGCACCTTAGGTACCTAGCCTCCTGCGCATTGGTGGGTCATGCCGCGCGCGCAGTTGCCTCACTACAATACCAATGCTGCTGGCCAGCGTACCTGCATGCAGTCTACAGGGGTTCTCGGCAAGGCGCTTTCTCATTCCCTCACCTGAAGATGATGAAATGGTGGGCGGCCGGGCTTCGTGTTCTGAGAGCCCACTGATGTTCTGGAAATTGACATTCAGGCGAGGCGGAGGATCCAGGGGACCTGCCATCGTCCAGGGTCAGACGAACCGACAGACATTGATGCCGTCAAGGATCTTTCCTTCTCGGCAAAGACAGGTCTCAAACGGAACGGAACAGGCGACAAAGAAACATGATGACCTGTTGGGAGACGGAGGCACGAGTCATCCGTCTGCAAATCTCTTTCTTTCTCTCTCTCTCTCTCTCTCTCTCTCTCTCTCTCTCTCTCTCTCTCTCTCTCGCTCTCTCTCTCTCTCTCTCTGTGCCAGAGCAGTACCAGGGTCGCCTGCTCTGAGCTGATCGTCGCCCTGCGAATGGGCCATGCACCAAGCCGTGACAGGTGACCCGCGGTGACCCGCGGTTGGGCCCCTATTCACTTTGCTGTACGATGTTCGCTGGGAAATCACCTCAAAGATGCGCGCGACCCAAATATGTTCGTCGAGTCGCGCGCGGCGCACTGACACCCCCTTGTGATATCACCCAGCATTGTCAACTTGCCGTGTCCTTGTCAGGCACCGAGATGGCGATCGAGGATGGCAACGTCACCCTAACGTGGAATGTAATTTTGCTCATCGCTATTCACCGGAGACCCATTGTAGCATCTGTCGGCATCTTCGTTGAGTTTGCTGGGCGTGTGCGTCGTGTGGCCTTTGCGCCTCACCCTTCATCCGTCAGCCCCTGAAGCCGGAGACCTGCATAAGGGACGGGAATCCACGATGAGTGGATGGCAGGGAGCAGGACATGTCAAAGACTTGCGAGACTGTCAGGGTGCATGTGACAGCTCTGGTACCCCATGAGTACTGCTGCCAGCCCCCCGCGACGCCCCCCCCTCGCACGCAGCCCACTTCAAAAGTGCAGAACAGGCGCCAACTTGGTGGCTTGGGGGTGGTCCACTCCGGTGCCCTGTCCCCCTAAAAATGTTTCTGCTTGGCAGGCGACCCATCAGCTGGTGTCACAAACGGCTCTCATTGGCTGCGACGCCTGTGTGAACGGCCCGGCACCGTTGCAGCACAGCGCATCTCAGTGCAGAAGCCCCCGAAGGTACCTTACCTTAGGTATCTCGCCCCCAGGAAATGGGACCGGGCACGGCAGGCCATCAGCCAGTAGCCAGTGACCAGCACACAGCACCCCCCCCCCGCCCCCCCCACCGAAACTGGCAAGGAGCCTCGAAGTGCACCAAGACAAGTCCCCCCCAGCCGTCCGTCCACTCATCCTCAACTCCCAATTTTTGTCAAGCCTGTGTCGACATCATCAGGTTCCGACCACGACAAGAAGGTTGATCGAAGGCGCGACGGCCTGTTGATGAAGTCTCGCATCTGTATCTCGACTCTCCGCATAAGTCTAGTATCCTCCTGACGACTTTGACGATACTGCGACGCCCTGGGCTCACAAGTCGCGCGACGAACAAGCAGCCCCTTACCCAGCCCCCGTAATCCGCCAGCCGACCCAACATTCTTTCCGCCAACCCCCTCTTCAACCCTTCGACGGCCGACATCCCCCCAAAAAAGGCGAGGTCGAACATCGCGAACTGTTCCCTGCCCTGACCATCGATGCGAACCCAGCCACCTGCAAACTCGAGTCCCGACTCCATTCGGTGTTCCTGCATCAGCATTGCTCCCGATCCCGCTGCCACCTCCACAGTCGCCTAGCACCTTCCCCCCTCAGGCGACGAGCGCGAACATCCAGCTGTTTCCACGCCCCCCGACGACAACGACCTGCACTCTGTCGCTCAAGCGCCAGTCCTGTCGTTACACCACCCGAACACCAAAGCAAACATCATCAACTTTACCTGGTTGAGTGGTTGCGCACCCACAGCTCGTCCTTGGTCGTTGCCTCGTCGCTTGCGCGTGATCAGCCAGTCATCATGGCGTTCCTGTTCAAGTCGAAAAAGAACCAAGACCGGGCCCTCGCCAGTCGCGATGGCACTTCGGGGTCCCAGGGCTCGATTCAGAGCGCCAGCGCCAGAGTAGCCAAGGATGAAAAGGCTGTCGCACAACGATCGACCCCCACCGGCAGCATGAACTCTTTCGGCGAGGAGGGCAGCGTAGGAAGCCCAGAGCAAGCACACGGCCGCCAACGGGGGCCCAGTGTTGACCAGGCGCCGTCTGCGCCCAGCGATTTGCCGGTAAGTTCCCCTATGAACACAGGAATTTCTTCACAATTTTCGCATTTGTGTCGGGCACCTTGAATAGCATCATAGGTACTAATCCTTGACTGCGCAGTTTCGCAACAGTCCACAGATGCAGTCGCAGCCTCAGCAGCAACCCCTGCAGCAGACGCAACAGCCACCACCACAACAGCAGAACCCAAACTCTGCGCTGTACCCTTGGTCGCAACGACGCCTGACATATACATCTGCACACCCTCCCCCTTTTCCGAGATATGGCGCCGCCGTCAACTCGGTGGCGTCGAAGGAGGGCGACATCTACCTGATGGGCGGGCTGATCAACAGTTCGACGGTCAAGGGAGATCTGTGGATGATTGAGGCCGGCCAGAGCATGGCTTGCTATCCTCTGGCAACGACAGCCGAAGGCCCTGGCCCTCGCGTCGGTCACTCGAGTCTTCTCGTTGGTAACGCATTCATTGTCTACGGAGGAGATACCAAGGTGGAGGAAACCGACGTCCTCGACGAGACCCTGTACCTGCTCAATACCTGTAAGTTCCCAACAACCTGTTGACTTGCCCGTTGTGCGCCGCTCCGTACTGACAACAGACCAGCCACAAGACAATGGTCGCGAGCTCTGCCTTCAGGCCCCCGCCCCTCGGGACGCTACGGCCACTCGCTCAATATCCTTGGTTCCAAGATCTACGTCTTTGGTGGGCAGGTTGAGGGTTACTTCATGAACGACCTGTCTGCTTTCGATCTCAACCAGCTACAGATGCCCAACAACCGATGGGAGCTGCTCATCCAGAACAGCGACAGCGGAGGTCCTCCTCCAGGCCAGATCCCTCCTGCGCGAACGAATCACTCGGTAATAACTTACAACGACAAGATGTACCTGTAAGTCGCCCAGTGGCCGTGAAGAGAGAATATAGACTGATCATGACTTAGCTTTGGTGGCACCAACGGCTACCAGTGGTTCAACGATGTCTGGTGTTATGATCCCGCACTTAATGAGTGGTCGCAGATGGATTGCATAGGATATATCCCCGTCCCGCGCGAGGGGCACGCCGCTACTGTCGTTGACGATGTCATGTACATCTTTGGAGGCCGGACGGAAGATGGAGCTGATCTCGGCGATCTGGCTGCCTTCAGGATAACCTCGCGCCGATGGTACACCTTTCAAAACATGGGGCCGTCGCCATCGCCGCGATCTGGCCACAGCATGACAACCGTGGGAAAGCAGGTTGTTGTGGTTGGTGGAGAACCGAGTTCTGCGCCTGTCAATGCTGGCGACCTTGGCATTGTCTATACACTGGACACGACCAAGATTAGATATCCAAATGATGCTCAGGCACAACAGCAGCAACAACTGCAGCAACAGCAACAAAACGCGCAAAAGGGTATTCAAGCCAGGAGACCCAGCGGTGCCGCCGAAACAAATCCAGCGCGCCCAATGGCATCCAGGGATGGATCGCAGGGGCCTCCCGAGCTCCGGAGACCTGCCGGGGGCCCTCAAAACCCTAACGGGATCAGCAGCCCTCCGAACGGCTTCCGCGCCGGGCCAGGCACACCCGAGGTCAATGGGTCAGGTGTCGCAGGTGTGGCAGCAGCTTCGAGGCTACCTCGCGGCGCTGGGTCGTCTCCTCCCGCCGGTCCTCCACCGCAAGGCCCCACGCCAGCCAAGCCTACTGTGCAGACTTCGAACCTAGTCAGGAGTCGTGGGCCCTCGACGGAGCGTGAAGCCACAACCTCTTCTCCTCAGATCGGCTCAACACGACAATCACCCGTGACTCGAGACGTGGCAAAGGAGGTTGAATCACCGATCGTCAACGGAAGGCGGACGCCCACACAGCAAGTCGTGCGAACAGGCTCAAAGTCGGAGTCTACCCCTGCGGAGCTTGTTAAGTCAAGGTCTCGGCAGGGCAACCGATCTCAAGGGTCGGTCGACAGCACGGCCGAGCCCAATATTAAGCCAATTCAACAGCAGGTGCAGCAAACACAAGTTCAGGCGCAACCAGTTCAGCAAGCACCTCGAGCCGCCTCGCCCCCTCCACCGACCCGCCAACCAAGCAACCCTCTGTCTCGAAGGTCATCAGGCCGGAACTCGCAGACCGTCGTCTTGCTCAAGGAGCTCGACTCTTCGCGTAACCGTAACGCCTGGTACGCATCTGAGCTGGAGCTCGCCCGCAAGGCCGGCTACGTGCCCAACGCAACGCTCAGTCCTGTCCTGGATAGTCGGGCTACGGAAACGTTCGATGACGAAGACAAGCCGTTGATTGAGGCTTTGTTGGCAATGCGCACCGAGCTTGCAAGCGTCCAAAGCGCCGTTGACAAACAGGCCATCCTCGCAGCCAAGCAGATTGCCGAGGCTGAAAAGCAGCGTGACGCTGCGATTCAAGAAGCTGTGTACTCACGAGCCAAGCTCGCTGCGCACATGGGCGGTAGCACGGCCAGCACCCCGCAACTCGATTCGGATCGCGATGCCGATGACCGTTCAAACGAGATCAGCAAGAAGCTTGCCGCCGCTCTCAACTACCAGAAGAGCTTGCAGGCCCAACTGGAAACCATGAAGACCGAGCTCGAGGCCGAGAAACGCGCTCGCCAGCTAGCCGATGATACCACCAACGCTTCCCAGAAGCGCATGGCCGAGCTGGAGTCGTACAAGACGATGAACTCGCCTGAGTTGGAGCGTCTCAAAGCTGAACTCCACATGATACAGCGCGAGGCGCGCGAGCAATCTGTCCAGTTTGCCGAGGTCACAGCAGCGATGCAACTCTTGCAAGTGGAGAAGGATGAGTTCCAAACCAAGTACACGGATTCGATCGGCAACTCCAAGGAGCAGAACCAAACATTTGACTCGCTGCGAGAGGCTGTGGCTGCTTCTGCCGAAATGAAACTGCTCCTCGAACGTAAGCTGGACGAGGAACGTACGCTGCGGGAGAAGATCGACGGCAAATTCACCAAGCTCAAGGCTGAACACGAGGCTCGCACTGCCGAGCTGGTGGCTGTCACACAACGTCTCCGCGATGCCGAGGAGATCTCGGAGAAACATGCCCATGAAGCAAGGACTCACCGTCAGGCTGTCATGGCTGGGTTCGAAAAGATTTCAACGCGGGATGTCGGCGGTGCGACCAAGGCAGACTCAGATCGCCTCGCGGCTCTCCAGAGCCAGCTTGCCGCGTCCAATGCACTGGTGAAGAAGTATCAACAAGAGGCAGACGTGGCAGCTGATAAGCTTCGCTCCGCCGAGGAGCGTATTGCAGGCCTCGAGGTTTACCAAGAGCAGTCCAGCCGCGAGGGCGTGGCAATTCGCCGACAACTCCAGGCTGCCCTCCGTGACACTCAGTCCCTACAGGCTCTCAACTCGGACCTCAAGCACCAGCTTCAAAATCAACAGCTTGAGACCAACGCCATGAGCGTCCAGCACAACACTCTGAAGGACATCTTGATCGAACGCGGGATCAGCCCGAATGGCATGCCACGCTCCCGCAGTGTGGGCAGTCCCCGTGGGAACTCGCCTGAACAAGCCCGAATCCGCGAGCTGGAAGATCAGCTGCATGCGGCGGCATCGAACCACGAGGACAACACGCAACGCAACGCCAGCCATCTGGAAGCAACCGAGAATGCGTATCGGGAGAAGTTGTCGCAGCTTGAGAACGACTACCAGTCGGCCGTCCACTACGTCAAGGGCACGGAGAAGATGCTCAAGCAACTTAAGGAGCAGCTTGCTCGCTACAAGACTGAGAACGCGCGTCTTAAATCGGAAGTTGAAGATCTCGAGGATCGGGTTCAGGCCGCGCCTTCCGACGCCGCACCTGCCGACTGGGAGACAGAGCGAGACGCGCTGCACCAGAAGATCAACGCGCTGCAGGAGGAGGTCCGCGTGTCTGGAGCCCAATTGGAACAGCAGCTGATGGCTGTCAAGAAGGAGCTCGAGGAGGCACACACGCAGCGAGACACGGCCCTCGAGAGCAGCGAGGAGACGGCGCGAACCTTGACGACGAGTCGCCGTGATCTTGAGCAGTTGCAGCAAGAAAATTCTCTCCTAGAGCGCCGTGCACAAGATGCCGAGCAAAAGGTGTCTCTGCTTCTTGACCAGGTGGAAACTTCGGTGGACAACTACCGGCGCCGCAGTCGTCAAGCACCAAGCATGACCTCGGAGCTGACAATCTCGGGTCCGACAAACGGCGTCCACAACCAAGGCCACACGCGCCAGGAGAGCTCCGATGCCGAGAGTGCCTATGGCGGTCCCGTCCCAGGAGGGGAACGCAACAGCGGAGGCATTGACGCGCGGAATAGCACGGCGCTCGACAATCTTGCCACGGAGCTCGAGACGCTGCGCACGCATTGGGAGGCCACAAATAAGAACTACCGTCTCAGCAACACGTTCGACTTTGACACGGTTGCGGCGCCCGCTCGGCGCGATGATGAGGGTGGCATCGGGCTCAGCGAGAGTCTGGCCGACTGGCGCAAGCGGCTCGACGTCGAAGAAGGGGTCGGCGATGTCGGCGAGCCATCGAAGAGCAAAAGCCGACCGGAGCGACCCTAGACAGGCGTGCTCCGGCGTATGAACTCGCGCTTCTCCACCTGACCGCCGTCGTCGGGGGACGCGAATGATGGGCGAGAAGGGGAGGGGAGGGGGGGTTCTAGCCCCCCGTGTACATTGGAAGCAAGTGTTGTGCTGATGCCTGTCGCTTCTTCTACCACGATTCCACGTCTGAACCATGATCACGCACGCAACCCACGCACGAATCGCTCGCTCAACAGTTTCTGCACTTTTTTCCCCGTATCCATTCAGCCGCAGGCCCGGTCCTCACACCTCACTCACTACGACGCGCTCTGAGAGCAAGGACTGACTGGCAGGGAGTTGTAGCGATTTGTGGCTTTCGCAGTCACCATCACGAAACTCAAGCAGGCGAGTGTGTTGGAGCTATTGGCCTGTTACCCTTTTCCCTCGTTTCGGAAGAAGGATGCAAGGGCATCATCGATGGTTTCATCTTTTTCTTGTTTCTTCGCCTTCGTTTTATGCGTTTCTTGGTTTTCATTTCCATTGCTTTCTTGCGCGGGCTTTATTATTTTGTTGTCCTCGTATGTCAAAAAGATAATGTACAATACCTTATGGCTGTGCTCCCCTACCTCGGCTGGAGCTGAGGTGAACTGTGCAGCCTGGTCTGTTGACTGGAAACACGAGGAGATGGTTGGGGAGGGGGACGATGGTGGAGGTGTGTAAGACCCCCTGGTTGTCCGGATGCCGTCTGTCTACAAACATCAGGTCAAGCCTTTCTTTGCAGAGGCTCGTTGACGGAGAGGGTGATGGTCGGTAGCGATGATCTAGGGTTGTAGAGCCAGGCAAGACAGAGGGGAACAATGATGAGACGATTTTCTGTTCTCGCAAAGTCAAAACTGCCTGTGCCATCCATTGCAGGCGGCGCAAAAGTGACTCGACTATTTAGGTATCGACAGACGCAGATCCATGCTCTCGTTCACGTTCGAGGCAGCGAAAACCGGGCAATGACGAGGTTCTTCTTGTGACTCTGGACCACCGACCGCTGAAAAGACGGCCAGCAAACACAAGCATCGGAGCTCCAATCTAGACGTAGACGGACATGGCACATGATAGTTGGGTTGTAGCAAGCACGTCAGCATGTCAGCGCTGGTGACCTGGCAATCTCCTGACACGCAACCACGCTACCTACCTGAACCTTACGGTGTCCCCCCTCCCCCCCCCCTCTCTCTTCCAGGTACCCTACTAGGTAGGTCAGGTAGGTCAGGTAGGGTAGGTAGGGTGTACATGTAGCTCAATACCATGTACCAGGGGGAGGATGGGCGGACATTACGCCTCTGGTTCAAGCACCGAACAAGCTCAATCCCCGCTCGCTCCCTTTGCTGGGCTGAACGAACGGCTTTTTCGACAGGCCGCCTGTCCGCACTGGAGCTCAGGAGACTCATACAATGCGGGAATGCAGCCAACGAGCAGCTTCACTGCGACGCAAAATGACGCATGCAGGTTCGCGGCGGAGAAGGGACGAACCCCCTCCCGCTACTCGTCTTTCAAAGCATGAAGGACAAGACGTGTCCTGTTACACCAAGAGGGGGCTGCTGCTGGGGGGAGGGTGTGGCTTTTGAGCTTGCGACTCGAGGCGGCATGAGTCGGAAGGGGGGGGGGGGATCCAGCCGAATGCTTGGGTTTTTCGTTTCTTCCAGTTGTCGTGTCAGAGGGAGATCAAAACAACCTTAATGAGGTCTGGGCTGGTGTTTTAGCACGTGTCAAGCAAGCAACGGCAGCGCCAACAGCACCAGAGTACCCGGGGCGCCGTAGCGACCTGCCCTATGCACCTTGGGTACCTCAGGTACGTACCCACCTAGTTAGGTCAGATAGGTAGGTAGGTAGGTAGGTAGGTAGGTAGTAGGTGCCTAGGTAAGGTAAGGTACATAGGTACCTCACCTTGGGTAGCAAACAGCCTGGGGCCTGCCGGAAAGAACCCACCTACCTACCTACAGTCGCTGCCTGCTGCTGTCTGCTCATTGCCCCAGCGAGAAGGAGGAACCTAGAAAGAAGATCCACGGCAGGCAGGAGAGGTACTTCAGAGGGGGAAGGAGGCACGGACATGGGTCCCGGAGATCACCAAGACCGCGAGCTCCGCAGTACGACCAAGCACTTGCCCAGGCACAAACAAACTCTCGCATTCTCTGCTTGAAACTTCGTGACTGTTCATCGTAAGGTACCTATACGAGTTCGTAGGTATCCTGGCTCTTGAGATTCCCTCTCTCAAACCGTCTTCACTGGGTGCACAGGGCAGCAGCCGCGTTCAAGGGTCTGTCTTGGCTGATCCCGCCGCCGTGTCTCCCTCCCTACCTTACTTTGGGTACCTGAGGTAGGTAGGTACCTTGGCCAACGGGCCCACGTCAGTACCCTGGCTTCGCCCTGATTATTATTACCGTACCTCGACACTACTTTCTGACGACACCTTTGTCCGAACCCTGCCTCCGTTGCTCACCCACCTCAACCACCCGTCGAGGGTCAAGTCAGGCATCGACACCACACGACCTCTTCGCCATCTACTCGCTTGCTTTCTGTCAAGCTACGACTGTCTCTGTCGACCATACCGACGTCTACGACGCGCAATTGCACGACGACCCGCCGCCCCTCGACCCGGGCCCCGAGCCCTCCGGTGACGACGCCATGAACGCCATTGCGCAAAAGTGTCGGCCGAAACACCAGGTCCTCGTCCTCAAATGCTACCCACGCACCACAAAAGGCGCTGTCGATGTCAAGCCCAATTCCAGCGAACTCAGCTACCTGCTCTTTTATGCCACCTCGCGCCGATCCAAGATCCAAAAGATCGGGAGCTTCCTCGAGAAGAAGACGGCCAGTGACGTCTGGCGACTGCGCATCGGGTACGGCACATGCCCCTTTCCTGGCAACCCTGAACGACTGCATCGACTCATCTTGGACAGAGAGCAACATGCTAACCTCTGACGCGTAGCAATGTACAGGTAACCCTGCAGATCCTCGCGGCCCTCATCGAAAAGTCGCCCAAGGACCTCCCCCTGTTCGCCAGCAATGTCCTCAAGATTTTCGACCTCATCCTGGGGTCCAAGGACATCACCATGGCCAAGTCATCTATCCCCACCTTTGAGGCCTTCTGCGAGAATCACGACGTCTCCTCTTCTTTTGCCGACCAAGGCTACCTAGCTCAGTACGAGTCTGTGGTCCGCTCCTACGCGACCCTCGCCTCGACCCGCCAGACACCAGGCAAGGGCACACCGAGCCAGGCCGTCGTCATGAAATGGAGGACTGTCGGGCTCGAGGCCATCAGGAGTGTATGTTCCTCGGACCCGCTGTCCTCCGTCGCCGGACGGCAGCTTGCCGTCATTGTGCCCATCATTCTCGAGAACCTCTGGCACAACGACGACACGTTCCTCGATGTGCTGCTGTCGCGCGTGCAGTCGGAAGAGAAGTCGGACGCCGACAAGCCCATGCGCCGTAGAACGAGCGTCACCACTGTCAAAACGAGCGACACGGCCGGCGACACGAACCCCATCGCTCTCGTCGGCACCGCCCTCGACGTCGACAAGCTCGCCGAGGAGGACATTGGTGTTCTGGCCCTCCAGTGTCTCAAGCAGATTTACATCGTTCCAAACCAGCCGCAGATCCACAGCGCAACGTCCTCTTTGCTCAAATTCGTCCTCGACAGGGTCGCCCAGAACGAGACGGTCATCGATGCTGGAGAGAAGCCTGGCAGCGAGCGTGGTTGGGCCATCCAGATTCTGGCGACGGTGGCACGCTGGGCCCCTGTCCAGGATCGATACATCATACTGGTCACGACGATGGACCACATCTCGCGGTTGCCCCTGACAGAGGAGAACCTGCAGCAGCACATTGTGCTGGCCATCATGGTCAGCTCTCTACTGCAATCCGACATCAACCTCATCGGCCTCAGTGTCATGGATGTCTTGATCGGCTTCATCCGCCACATGAAGAGACTCATGCATCTACCGGGACCCAGCGGGCTCCCCAGGACGGACAGTGAGAGGGAAGAGCAGCCACAGGCGGGGGGCGACACGACAGAGCAGCGCATGCAGCTCCTGGACCGCATTCAACAGTGCATTGGCGGTCTCGCGACGCACGTATACTACGCCGATCAGATTTCCGACATGATCTCGGCCATCCTTCTCCGCCTACGACCCTCCCGTTCGACAAGTACCAATTCGTCACCCCCCGGTGAGAAGGCAGACGTTACAGGGAACGACGACGCTGCGAGCAGTCACACGCAACTCGAGTCATTCTTGTCACTTGGCGTCGGCAAGACAGCCGCCCTCAAGGCTATCAAGAGCATACTCCTCGTGGCGAACCCCCAGACCAAGATGACCAGCAACTTCAACCTCTCCCGAACCCGTGTTCCGATCCACGTATGGGAGGGCACGCAATGGCTATTGCGCGATCTCGACGGTCATGTCCGCAAGGCCTATGTTGATGTCTTGGTCACCTGGCTAGAGCGCGAAACAACACTGAGCGACCTCAAGGCCAGAGACGAGAACTTGCGGCCTCGCCACCGGTCTGCCGTGAGGAGCGGCCGCGAGCTGCAACCTGGGGGCACGGCGCAGCGCGCATCTTCCACCGCGTCTCACCGCGAGAAGCCTCTAAAGCATCATCGATCGCACTTTTTGCAGCTGCTTCACCTGGCGATCTACGACAATGCGCTTCAGTTCATCGATCTTGAGTCTGACATTGTGCTTCTGCACATCCTTCTGACAAAGCTCGTCTTCAAGCTCGGCGTCAATGCCGTTCGATATGGGCTCTCCATGGTGTTTCGTCTGCAGGAAGACATTCTCGACATTGAGACGCCACTTCAGAAAGTGCGGATCGGATCACTCTGTCACGGATATTTCTGGGCCGTGACGGAGAAGTTTGACGTTGAAACGTCCAGCGCCGGGCGCGCCATTCAGGACGAGATTGTCCGGCGACGCAGCAAAAACTTTTGGGTGGGCAACATCAACGTGCCGACGCCGCCGATCGACGTCGTTGGCACGCCCGGTGTCGCTCGGACACAACCAGCCTTGTCCGTTCAAGAACTGGAGAAGGAGGAGCTGATTCCCTTTGACGACAGGAGCTCTCTCGTCAGCAGCATTGCCGAGGGCTATGCTGACAGCATGGTTTCGCCTCCTGGCAGTCCCGCGGCGTCGCCTGGCCGCAGCTTCTCGCACCCCATCCTCGGCTCCGCCCTCAGTCATGTGCCGGCAGAACCCGACAATGAGCTCCCGCTCACGTTCAAAGAGCTCATGCTCACGGACTGGACCAGGGAAACCGCGCAGGTTGCCATCCAGGCGGCCAGCAAGTCTGAATCCCTGACCGGCTCCCGCACGGGGACGACGGCCACGGGACGGCATCGCCGTGCCATGAACGGGTTGGGCAACGGCCAAGGCTCTCCTCTGGGGAGCCACCGTAACCTCCGCAACTCTTCGCCGCACGTGGCGGGCGCGGCAGGGCTGGCGCCGCTCAGCAAGATGCGCAAGAGCAGCGTGCGAAGCGGCGTGTCGGCCACGCCGTCAGTCAACAACCGCGCCCCCGTCGCGTCCGTCGATCAGTTGAAGATGGTCATGTCAGGCCAGCTTCCGCCCACAGCCGTGAGCACGTCGGCGGGGCTGCGGAATCGCGACGATGACGACGACGGCAGCAGCGGAAGTGGCAGCGACAGCATGGTCAGCTACGATTACTCGCCGTCCGAGCTCAGCTTCAACCCGGCCACGCAGCAGTCAGACAACAGCGATGCCGCCCAGAGGCCGGGTTCCAACGGCCGTCGTAGCGGTGTGCGCAACTCGCTGCTGGCTCACACGTCGTCGTCCCTGCCCAATAGCGAGATGGGCGGCGCCGACGAGGTGCCGCCGGTACCGCCGCTGCCAGACCTCCGGGGTCTCTCGAGCAAGATTGGCGATCTACACTTCGACCTGCCAGCGAGCGGCACCGTGCACGACCAAGTGACCAAGCCTGCGAAGCGCAACATCAGCACGCGGAGCAGCGACAGCAGGTACCAGTCGACGCTCCGAGGAGAGGAGCCGCCAATGGACCTGCGGGATCTCCTGCAGGGCATCGACAGCCGAGCAGGGGAACACAGCCTAGGGAATGTGACACGGCCGCCCTACTGAGCTGAGCCGTAGGTGTTTTGTTGGGAATGCGGGATGGTTTAGGGAGCGGAGAGGTCGCGGGGTTGGTTTCTCAACAACGTCATGTGAGGTGATCATCTCGGGCTGGCCACGTAATGGAGCTGCGGCGGGGTCAATGTGGCATTGGGGCAATCTCTGTAGTTTTACGTGAAGCGTGGGGTGGCGTACGAGTAGTCTCTAGCGCGGTGTTTCGCGAGCGATAAAAGTTGCTTCACTTGTTGAAATGTCTATCATGGTTATTCTAGATGCTATGTGTGTATGTGTGTGTGTGTGTATACATGGGTGGCCAGGCTTATAAGCCCGTGGCAGGGTGATGGTTACAAGACAGAGAGCACTGCTCCATTCACAGCCTCGTGAGAGCCTGCAGATCGAGCTGCTCCCCAGGCGCCATGTGTTCGCCGAGCGCCGTCTCGAAAAGATGACACAAACGCACGAGGATGTCGGGCTCGCGCCGGCCGCGCCCACGCCGCCACGCTTCGCGCACGTCATACACGCGGTCGAGCTCCTCGGCGAGCACAGCGCGCGGCCACTCGTCCGTGATGGCGTGGTTGTTGCCCGCGTCGGGCTCGTCCCCGGACGCCGTCTTGCTGGTGGCGGGGCTGAAGCGCGGCGTCTTGTCCTCGCGGTCCCAGAGGAAGTCGCCCTCGCAGCAGAGGGCGTGGATGAGGGCGGCGTCGTGGCGGAAGGCGAATGACGAGGAAGCAGAAGCGGGAGAGGAGAGCGGCGGCGGGGGTGCTTGGACGGCGGCGCGGAGGCCGTGGAGCTTGAGCTCCCAGGATTGGGAGGCGTGGAAGCGGGCGCCGCCGCGGCGGAGCCAGCGCAGGAGGAGGGCGTCCTGCGGGGACCACGGGCCCGCGAGGAGGATGTCGGGGATGCGCATGTGTGGGTGGACGTCGCGGTAGAGCGGAGTCGGCCATTTTGCATCCGCGTCACCAGCGTCGTCTTCGGCGAAGGCGAGGAGCGGCGCCGGGGCCGGGCGGTCGGCGGCGAAGCGCCGTGCCCACTGGGATTGGGCCTCGAGGAAGGTCGCGGCGTCGGCCCAGCGACAGGCGACGAGGGCGGACTGAAAGACAGGGTTGCCCGGGTGGAGGCCCTCCTCGATGGCGCGGCAGCGGGCGCGCTCGGCGGCGGTCAGCGAGCGGGACCAGTGGAAGCCGAGGGCGCGGCGGGTGTCGATGCCGTAGCCGGCGTGCCAGGTCGGGGCGAAGGCGGCGATGACGGCGCCGAGGAGGGTCGGGCGGCCGGAGAGGAGGCGGCCCAGCAGCGGGCTGCAGCGCGGGAAGGCGACGTTCTCGCTGAGGTAGAAGATGTGCTCGAGGATCTCGAGCGGCAGCTGGCGTTCGAGGAGGGACTTTTTCCGGGGCCGTCGATGCCGTAGGTGACGAGTCGGTTCTGACGAGGACGAGGCTTGTCTGTCGTAGGGGTGGACTCTGTGCTTCTTCTTCTGCTGGGCGGCGCCGTTGCGTTTGCCGCGGACCTTGAGCGGTGTGAGGGGCATGTTTGCTGCGTGAATGTGGTGGTGGTGATGGTGGTGGTGATGTTGGTGAGAGATAGGGGTCAGGAGTGGGATGCTGGAGGAAGAGGATATATATGATTATCGCAAGGAGATATAAATAAGCCGCCCAGAAATCGATCGGGTTTCCATCCTTGTCATTTGATTGAGCTAGCTTGGGTGAATAAAGATGTTTCCTCAATGTTCAGTTTGAAGAAAAATGAAGATAAAATAGAGATTCGTTAAAGAGAATTCGGTGAGGACGGATGACATAGTTAGGCCGTCTTCTTCACCGAAAGCTCCACAGCTTACTTCATGACCAAAGAAAGAAAAAAGCAGTCTTTTCCTGTATATACGACTGCCAGCTTCAAATGAGTCGAGCCGGCGAGGGCCAAGTTGGCAAAGACAAAGGGTGGCAAGTCAAAGATAAAGTTGAAGAAAGGCATCACGATGGACGATGATGATGACTCAGCAGAGCACATCCATCACCAGTCCTAAGGTACATGTACCTGTCGAAGTACCCAAGTACTGACCAACGGCCATGTCCCCGAGCTCTAATTCCGGCTTCGCGACTTTTTTACACCATCCAATCCGTCAACTCCCGTCCCCGCGCCACGAACCATTTACTCACCAAAGGCGCCTCAACGACCCTCGCCGGTCGGCTGACGCAATGAGCTCAGCACTTCGAGGACCGGTGCCTTCCTTTCACCTGCTGCGCTTCTTGCGATCCCAGGCCGAACACGCCTCGACAGGCTCCCGATGCCCCATCACATCATGCTCCAGACAGAGCTCGCCAACACCACGACGACCGCCAAGATGCCTCGCCAGGCTGGAGACCCGACGCCCGATTTCCACAGCAAGTGGCCTTCTCGCCAGCCGGCCCCTGCGGTCACGAACACAAGCATCAGTACAGACACAGTCTACACAGATCAATGCCACGGCAGGCCTGCCAGCAGCGACATGCTTCAGCACAACGAGCACGCGCCGGGAGAAGCAGGTCGACGACGCTGGCAAGACCGAGAGGGCACCCTCGTGGAAGGAGAAGCTCTGGGGCGTCGGTGCCAGGCGTGGTGCCAAGCCGCTCCAGCCCACCGACCTACCGACCCATGACGAAGTTGGCGACGGCAGCTCCATGTTCAACTACCGCCGCATCCTCACGGCCAAGGCCGCCTCGGAACCCCGTCTGCGGTGTACCGAGGTGGACGAGGACGGCGAGGTCATCCTCGTCGACGGCGAGTTCAAAAAGACGGAGCTCATTGCCAAGGTGCGTCCTCTTGTCTCTCGACTACACTTCTCTTTCCCATGCGCCGACCCGACCTCCCCCTGGTGCAGACTTCGACTGACAGACGATAGTACGGCCTGCTGCCTCGCGATCTGCGCAAGATTGACTCGTCCAACCTTCCCCACATCCTCGTCCGCCCGTCGGCCATCCTCCTGAACCTGCTCCACCTCAAGGTCCTCATCAAGAAGGACCGCGTCCTCCTCTTTGACATTTACGGCTCCAAGACGTCGTACCCGCAGTCGGCCTTCATGTACGACCTCCAGGGCAAGCTCAAACAAAAGATCCCCCAGGGCGGCGGCGGCGTCGGTGCTGCCGCCGGCCTGCCCTACGAGTTCCGCGCCCTCGAGGCCGTCCTGACCTCGGTCACGTCCGAGCTCGAGGCCGACTTTGAGGCTGTGCGCGACCCCGTCATCCGCATTCTCAGCGAGCTCGAGGACGACATTGACCGCCACAAGCTGCGCGTGCTGCTGATCCTGTCCAAGCGCGTCAGCACCTTTGAGCAAAAGGCCAAGCTCGTGCGCGACGCCATCGAGGAGCTGCTCGAGGCCGACGACGACCTCGCCGCCATGTACCTCACCGAAAAGGCCCACGACCTGTACCGCGGCGAGGACGACCACACCGAGGTCGAGCTGCTGCTCGAGTCGTACAACAAGCTGTGCGACGAGATTGTGCAGGAGGCGCAGAATCTTGTGTCGAGCATTCGCAACACCGAGGAGATGTACGGCCCCCCCCCCCCCCTTTAGCTTAAGCGTTCGCTTGTTCGTCTCAACCCTCGGCATGGGCTAACCTGCACAGCATCCGCGCAATCCTCGACGCCAACCGCAACTCGCTCATGCTGCTCGAGCTCAAGTTCAGCATCGGCACGCTGGGCCTCGCCATGGGCACGTTCCTCGCGGGCCTCTACGGCATGAACCTCGAAAACTTCATCGAGGACACCAACTGGGGCATGGGCGCCGTGACGGGCGTCTCCGTCTTCTTCTCGCTCATCGTTTGCTGGTACGGCCTCATCAAGCTGCGCAAGGTCCAGCGCGTCAAGATGATGTACGATGAGCGCGGCGGCGGCGGCCTCGGCGGCAGCCTCGGGTCGCGGCAGCACTGGTTCAAGGACGACGGGCCGGCGCATCTGCTGCAGGCGACGAACCGCGAGAAGTTTCGTCGCTTGGCGGGGCAGAAGGCGGCCAAGGCGACACGGCGGTGGATTTAGGCCGTTGCTGTGCGGGTTGAATCTTCTGCGCCGGTTGGTTTTGGACTGCTACGAGGATATGCCACGAGAGCGCGGGCTATCAAGACGACTAGGATGCTACCAACAGAGAGACCAGGTAATACCACAGCATATAGACGGCGTTTACGGCTAAGGGGAGAGAGGGGGGACCGGCACAGGCGCCGGACCTCCGTTGTACGACCAGCAGTGTCGAGCGAGGGGCGCACGCACTCTTCTCACTTTTTTATCTGGAATTTGGACTGGCGTTTGGCGGCATCGGCAGAACACAATACCCAATAGACCGAGATGTCCTGGCGTTTCGCGAACAGGCACGTGCTTCTGACGTTCTCATGAGAGCTGCGTTTCTCGATGCACGTTCCATGTCTCGTGTCACTTCTGTCCATGGCGAACAGTTTCTCGTAGCTCACATCAACAGTCATTTGAGCGTTGCCTCATCAATGGAGAGTCATGCACCTGTTTCCATCAGGAGGATCATCCCGACGACAGGAAAAGGCATGCCAGGCACATAGGGTCCACTGGGGTCAGGCACATAGGGTCAGCCAGGCACATAGGGTCCACAAGTTCCCTCCCGTGCGGCACGCTGCTTGATGTGCTGCTCATGGGGATTTCATGTCTGCCATTCTTCTTGCAGCCCGCCCGACTTCTTCCAACGTTGACCTGATGTCAGACACTTGCCATACCTTGAAAGGATCCCGTATACAGTGAAAACCTTGAATGCGGAGCCGCGCGATCCGTTGGTAATCAGTTTCATGTTATACAGAGGATGGCAGTGCAGGTAAGCCCAGGGAGGTCTTGAGAGGCTCTATATATTAAGTTCGTCTTAGCTGGTCCTGTCATAGAAAAGGCCCGATTCTTACTTACATTCTCTGTCCGCAATCCCTCCCACTCAATTGCATTTCCAGCACTAGGCTTTAGTAATTTACACTAGTGAATAATATCCTCTTGAGCATGGCTACATCGAGTTGTCATGTTCGTCTACTCACGACATCGGTTGTGTGAAACGCGTCGGCGTCGGCGCCCGTTGTGTCATGACGGGCCTGTATTGGTCCATGGTGGTTCGCCAATGCGAAGACGCTTCCTGCAGATGGCTCACGAGAGTGATGGCTAACGTAAGTGCAAATCAAACGGTTTCGTATAGGCGAGTCGTCCGAGTAAGGTAGGGAGAAATTTTCAACAGATCATGTATCACTATTGCGTCACTCAACACGTCAGAAGTTACATATCTCCGCCTCAAACTCATTGTTTCGATCATTCTCAGCCATGGCGCTCCTTTGAATGAAAGGTCCTTGCTGGTTGGTGGTGAAGCCGTGTTTGATGGCTTACTGCCGTTGAGATCCAGCCACGGTCACGTGAGTAGTCATATTGGCCCGTGCGACTGTGGATGGTCGCACACGGGATGTCCCGCTGGTGTCCCGCTGGTGGCCCGCTGGCAGCCTGGTGGGGCGTGACAAGACCTCGTAGCCTTGGCACCTACCTACCTGGTCTACCTACCTGGTCTACCTACCTGGTCTTGCGGTACCAGTCTTCAATGACTTGGGTATTATGTAGTGACGGGACTATACCTATATCTCTATCTACAGCTCATAGATACGATGTCATGACTATCCGACCATTCCCCTCACAGCTACGTCCGTTCCTTGAAAGGCTCTGGGGTGGACCCAATAGTCAGCGCAGGTGCACCTGGCTCAATGGTCAGGTGAGCCTTGACCTCCTCATCCAACGTGATCGAGTGCATAGCCGTGGATTTGAGCATCCTTCACCACCTCCAGGCATCCATGGAAGCAGCGGGTTTCGCGATAGGCCTCGTCGGGCTCGCTGGACTGTTCAGCTCCTGCGTCGACGCTGTCGCACGGGCGCATACCTACAAGTCCTTCTCGAGCGACTCGCAAGCACTCGATCTCCAATTTAGCGCGACGAAGCTCCGGCTTGAAACGTGGGGCCGCGCCGTGGGTTTTGCTGGTGCGGGCGCCGTCGCCGCCGCGGGAGACGATGCCCCGCTCCATCACCCGGCGCTTGATGATGAGCGGATCCAACGTGCGACCGTCGAGATCTTCGGCTTCGTCGAGCAACTATGCGAGGAAGCCACGAGGGCGGGCAGATTGCGCTTGGACACCGCTGCCGACTCATCAGCGTCGCGCGACCCACGTATGAAGCCGAGCGGCTGCGGTGCCCGGCGCAAGCTGTCTTGGGCCATGGGGGGCCGATTGAGGCGCACGGAAAAGCTTGAGCTGTTCAAGGAGCTGGTGCAGACGCTGTACAACCTCGTGCCACCAGACGACTACGAGGCAGGCCGACCGGTTGCCAGCGCCTGGTCAACCGAGTTTGGCCAGATCATGTCCCGTCTCGAGGCCCGGGCCCGCCAAGACGTCCACGCGTGGCTGCGTCCCATTCCGGGCGAACGATACCATGACTCGTTACAGCGACGCCTGGATGGCACCTGCGTCTGGATGCTCAATGAGTCGCTCTTTCAGCAGTGGATGACATCGGAGCTGTCGCCAGGCCCCAGCATCTTATGGCTTCACGGCCCTGCCGGCTTCGGCAAGACGATCATGTGCGCCAACATCATCCAACACCTCACCACTACGCTCACGACGCCTACGGCACACTTCTTCTTCTCGTCCGACGCATCCAGCAGCCGCGACGACCCATTTCTTGCCATACGATCCTGGGTCTCTCAAGTCATCTCGACCCACGATGGAGCGTTCCAGCTTGCCCTGGAGCGTCAGGAGTGCGATCCTGACCCCATTGCCACTCGCCACACCATCATGTCGGTTTTCGAGAGCATCGCATGCCTGGTGCCCGGCTGTACCTTTGTTCTGGACGGACTGGACGAGTGTACCAACATCGACGGCGGTGGCCGGGACTCGGTCGTCGTCTTCCTTGACGCTGTCATGAAGGCACTCGCAGGCGCCAAGGCCAGGCTGCTGGTGGTCAGTCGTTTTCTTGCCGAGATTCAGCATTCGCTGCGCGGGGACGAGCCGGAAAGGCTTCGCGAGTACAAGCTGCGGCCGAGCCATGTCCAGGCCGACATTGCAGCCTACTCGCGCGACGTCGTTGAAAAGAAACTGCAAAACAAAAATACGGCGCTCCGGGCCTCTCTCTCGAACACCATGGCCGAGAGGTGCGAGGGCCAGTTTCTGTGGATCAGGCTGCAGGGGGACTCACTGCGCAGGGGCATGTCCAAGAAACAACTCGAGGATGCGGTCAAAGACACGCCGACGAACCTGGAACGCGTCTACGACCACAGCTGGACGCGCATCACGCAGCTCAAAGACGCCGACCGGACGCGTGCCTTTGCCCTGCTTCGATGGGCTGCGTTTGCGCAACGGCCCCTAACAGTCGTCGAGGTTGTTGAGGCCGTTCTTGTCGAAGAGACGCAGCAGTGCGATGTCGACGACCTCATCGACGAGATCGACGAGGACTACGTCGAAACAGAAATCATGGGGCTCTGCGGCCCGCTGCTTGAAGTCAAAACCGACGTGGAACGCTGCGGCCACTGCACTTTGCATCTGCCTCACTTCACCGTCAGGCAGTACCTTGCCGGCAGGCTTACCACCCCGGGCTGGGTCAGGTCTAGCCAGTTGCACGGCCAGGCAACCCGGGAGATGCTCCATCACACTTTTCTGGCAGAGGTGTGCATCCGCTACCTGGACTTGCCGCAAGTCTGGGCAAGGCCGCTGGACTCTGCATGCCGTGCGCCAGGTTCAGCTTTCCGGGACTATGCCGCGAGTTTCTGGTACTACCATACCAAATCAGGCGTTGCGAGCGATCCGACACTCATGCAGGTTGCCATGGAGTTCTGCCATTCTGAAAACGCACGCTGGATCTCCTGGAGAACGCTGCGCCAGATGGCATCGGGTAACAAAACCTCGCCCGCAGGACCCGTCCTTTCCGCGCTGAGGCTGGGCGTACCGGAGCTGGCCCTGTGCTTGCTGAAGAACGGGCAGTATTCGGCTGACGACCTGGACTTCGGGCGCACCTCCGCATTCAAACACGCTTGCGCTTTCGGCTTGACGTCCGTCATTGAGGCTATGATTGGGCTGGGCGCCGACCCATGCTTCATAGACACCTTGGGAACGACTCCCCTAAGCTTGGCATCAGGCAGCGAAAATATCGAGGCAGTCAAGATCTTACTCCAGAACAACGCCAGTGCCCGGGTACCCAGCAAAGCAGACGGATCTGCGCTCTACCAAGCGTCAAGGTACGGGCCCGCAGACATTGTACAGCTCCTTCTCGAGAATCATGCCGTCGACACAATCAACGACACGGTCAGAGAGGAAGTCACACCTCTTCACGTAGCGTGCATGAACGGACACGCAGATATCGTTCGGCTGCTGTTGAGCCATGGAGCGGATGCCTCCAAACGATGCAGCACACACCAAACGGCATTCGGGTTGGCGGTGTACAACGGTTTCGCGGAGATAGTACGCATGTTTCTCGAGTGCGGTGCCAGCGCGGAAGGCTCTGATGATGACAACTTCTATCCTGTGCATCTGGCTGCGCAATCTGGCCACCTCGACTTGCTCCATCTACTCATCAGTCACGGGGCTGATGTGACTGCCAGATCAAACACAGGCCGAACGGCGCTCTACTTGGCAGCCGCGGGCGGAGAGATGGCCGTCGTCAAGACTCTTGTCGAGATGGGTGTCGACGTCAACGCCCGAGACCAGTTTGGGCACACGGCCCTCGTGGCATCGGCCGACATTGGTCATCTGGAAACAGTGACGTATCTGCTTGCGCACGGCGCCTGCTGCCATGCCGTCAGTAGAAGAGGGGGCACGGCATTGTCCGCGGCGGTGCGTTCGAATAATGCCGGCGTTGTGAGGGCAATACTCCAGCACAGCAGCCTATCTGCCTCGAGCGAGTGTCACAAACCCCGCCAGCGGGAGAAACCGACATCGGACGAAGATCTCGACGCGCTGTCCGGCAATTCGGACATGGCTGATGACAGGCTCGTGCTCGAACCGGCCCAAATGGTCAAC